ATCAGAACAAAAAAAAAAAAAAAAAACAGCTAATCTTCCCGCTAGCAGAATACTCGAACAACCCTAGAACATCAATTATTTGACAAATAAAGGTTGAAAACACCAAAAGGGGTACAACCAAAATTGATAACAGCATAAGGCACCCAACAGCTCAGACAAGCAAGCACGTAAAAAAAGATAACAAAAAATAAAAGAACGTAACAGCGATGGTACCTTTGTATCGATAGCTTTGTAAACGACACCGTACGTGCCTTCACCGAGGACCTCGCGTTTGAGGTAACGATCGGCAACTTTCTTGGACAACAGCTGAACCTCGGCCATTCTCCTTTTACCTGTTTACGAACTGGAAAGCGCCGTCATTCAGATAAACCGGTGCCGGTACGAGTTCTCACGACGGTTAGAAACGAAAATGGCTCACTGTATAGTTGGTGACGTTAACGTTATCTGTGAGCATACGAAGCTGAGATGCAGTGTGGAGTAGATGTGGCTGTTTGAGTGGATAGATGCGATTGGGAGCGGCGGAGGTAGGAGCGTACGGCGCTTCCACGCGGCGGCGAAAAAGTGAAGGTTTTAAACGTTTAGAGAGAGGAGAGGTGTTTTATTACGTTGATTAAATAACTATTAAAGTATTATGACAATTCATTGCTTTAGAACAGTGTTTTGTGACCCGGCCCGGGACTCGGTCGACCCGGAGTCGGAACCGGTCCGGGTGGGTTAATTAGATCGGGCAACAACGGACCGGTCAAACCCGGTCAAAACTCGGTCGAGCCGGCCTTGACCCGGTTGACCCGGGACATTGACCCGGCCGGTCTATATGTATTTTTTTATTTTTTTTTGTTTTTTAATTTTCTTTTTCTTTTTAAAAAATAAAATTATGTATATATATTTATATGATAAATATATACATATTATTACTACTTTAATCTACAAAGTTTACCTACAAAATATTTAAATTTGTTATTTTTATGTATATTTATATATCACAAAATACTCTATATATAATTTTATAAATTTTAAAATTAATTATCCGGTTCAGCAATTGACCCGGTGACCCGGCGGTTGAACCGGTGACCCGGTGACCCGAAGACCTGCCCGGGTCGATTACCGGGTCGGGTTTAAAAACTATGCTTTAGAACCTTTGTAGATTGTAAATTGTAGTATTAAAGTGAATAATAGATATGAATGTTTTGAGAAAAGATGAAGAGTGACTATGAAAAGACGTAGAGTATTATTAGCTAGACGAGAGTAATAATGGAAAATTATATACAAAATATCCAAAACGACATTTATTTTGTTAATAGTTGATAATACCAAAATGACATATAAAAACAATAAGAGGTAGTATAAACTACTCAAAAGTACAATCGAATGCCCACTGACATTACAAAGTATCTTTGCACTTTGACACCAGACCCCAATAGTGAAAAAAGGTTCAAACAAAGAGATCCACCTCGAGCCACACACACTAGACACCAAAATAGACGTTACACTCTCTTACTTGAAGACCAAACCGCTCCCGAAATTGGACACTACCAAAGGGAGACAAAAAACACAACAAAAGGCTAAAACATAAAAAGTACACTACAAATAAAATAAACAAAAACCTCCTCGTTGTTTGCAAGCAACTCCAAAACCACACACGAATCTAACATCTAGAAGCGACCACTAAGAAACACAAGACTTCGTGTCCAATTATAACAGAACTAGAAACTCCCAACTCCTGAAAGGCTAAGGCTAACTAGAACTGCACCCAGTGAATCGAAGCCCCCTTTCATTGGCAACACCATCAAGCAATAGCACCAGGAGGCCGAGCACCAACACTTCTCCCCAGTCCCCACACAACACCGACGGAGCCGACTCATTTCTTCCAGAGAAGAAAACAAGCCGCCGGCAGAAAGAATCCATATATCCCCAACACAAAGAAGAAAAGGAAGAAAAAAAATACCATGTTCGTCAAAGCTCAGTTCGTCGAAAGGCCATGAAGCATCGCCTGCAGCCCTATCTGCAGCGTCAAGTCAATGGCAGACCTGTCGATGCCCGCCGAGGGAGGAGCATCAACATGAAGAGGAGACTGTGACCATACATGAGGGAGGAGGCTCTCCCGGTGTCGGTCACTCCATTTCAATTTCATTGCTTTAGAACTTTTGTAGAAATATACTTTGAATTTTTAAGGGGTTTATAATGTAATTTGTTCAAATTTTAATACCATGTCATCCATGAACTTTTTACACGTAGAGCCACTGTCAGACACGTAAGCAAAAAACTCGCCGCATACGGAGTTTGAGTTCGACTTGCAATTTCTATACAAGGTTGTGTCCTTGTTTGCTAATATTCAAAGTTTGATTAAAATTGTCAAAAAAAATCAAAGGTTGTGATATTACTGACAATTAAGACACCAAAAAGTGAAAAAACCTCACTGGTCTCTACTTTCACATAAGACCATATATCAACAAGACGAGGAACGGGTTTTTATTCTGTTTCACGGTGATGGACAAAGTCAAGTTTCCATTTAAGTTATTATTCGATGAATGAGTTTTTCTTGTTAAACAAAAATGATGGGAGAAACTACTAGATTTGTAAAAGATTTATTTGAGAGAAAAGATGAATCTGTTGTGGTAGGAGAAGTTGTATGGGAGTAAGAAACTCGCCAAAAGATTTATAATATAGCCCATTTTGACAATTGGACAAACCATATATGTCGAGAATGCAAACTAAAAAAGGCTAGAATTTGGAAAAAGTCTTCGGCCAAATGTTGACAAGAGAAGGCTTCGAGACAAATAATGAAAGACACGCAAGATGAGAATAGCAAAAGAAAAATTCCGTAACGTATGAAGCAAGAAGACACCCACTAAAAGTGGACAATAGTAATACAAGAAAAGTGGTCTACACTAATGGTAAATTTTCGGATGGGATAAAAAAAATCCCAGGGTGAGGCGGGGATTAATTAATCGGCCAGTAGCGGATATACACGTGGGGCCCGCAGCCACATGTGTGCCAGCTCACGCAAATTCCATCCCAATCCTTAAAAGAAAACAACGAATAATGCGGGACAATTTTAGTTATCATGTCCCATCTTCCAAAGTAAACGAGCCCTGAATTATCTGGTAATAGGGGTCTTGAAACTCATATAAATAAATAACATAAAAATAAAATAGACATCGAATGTTCACTCTTCTTAAAAAAAGACGTCAGTATTGTTATTTATTAAAAATCTTAAAATTACAAATTTAGAAATTTATGCCTTATCAGGTAAAAGTAATGACACTGAAAATTGTTACGAGAACCCATGCGAGGACACTTCTTGTAGGGGTAAGATTGATATATAACGCATTGTGTTTCGGGCACCCATGCTATTGGTCAAGAAGCGGCTAGTCAAATGAGTTCGATTTTTTTTACATGAAATAGTTGTAATATATAAAACTACTTTAATATAAACTATATACATTTAAATATTTTAAATAACTATGAAATATTACATAAGGTATTCATACATTTTAACTATCTAAAGATTTAATTAAAATTATTTTTCTATATAAATTTTACTATTTATAAAACAAATAATTTTAAATAGTAACATATAAATATCGTCTAACCATTGAACTACTAGCTTTACTTTACATTTCCATAAATTGGTTAGACTTAAAAAAGGAAAAATTATTTTTAACCTCCCAAAGTATGTCATTTTTTAGAGTTTGTCATACAAACATTATTTTTTTTTTTGCAATTTGCCTCTCAATATAATCGAAACTGACATTTTGCCTCCTCGATCGAAAACCCTAATATGGAACAAAAAAGTTTTTAACTCAATTAATGATAAATTTTAAATTGATCTTTAAAATTTATTTAGGGCTTTTAAAGCCCGTATTGAGGTATGATTTGTCGATTTCTGAAAATTGATTCGTCTGTAATCAATCGACGAAGATAGTAGGAGCACGTGTGTATAGAAAAAAATTCAATTCAAGTTTTCAAATAATCAAGGTATCCGAATTTCGATTAAAATGTGTCATTTGAAAGTTTGGAGAACGAATTTTCTAACAAAGTAAATTTTATGACAATCCAACGATCGAATTTTGGTTAATAGCCTGAAAAAAATCTAACTAAGTTTTCTTAAAACTGATCAAAATTCGACTGTTGGATTTTCATAAGATTTACATGTTAGAAAATTGGTCCTACAAACTTTCAAATGACACATCTCAATCGAATATCTTGATTATCAGAAAACCTGAATTGAAATTTTTTCAATACAAACGTGCTTCTACTATCTTCATGGATCGATTATAGATGTATCAATTTTTAAAATTTGACAAACCATACGTCACTTTGTTCGTCTCGCCATAACTTTAAGTCTTAAATATATTATAAAGATTAATTTATAATTTTTCATTAATTGAATTAAAAACTCTTTTGTGTCATATTAGAGTTTTCAGTCGAAAAGACATTGTCAGTTTCGATTATAGTGGAAGACAAATTGTTATAAAAAAAAATATATATGACAAACTCTAAAAAATAACATAGTGGTTAAAAAAAAAATCCCTTTTAAAAATCTTGATTAAGCTTAAACCAAACACTCCCTTAAGGAACACAAGTCACCGTGTATGAGACTGAGTAATGTTAATTTGATAATTTCTCCCCTTTTAGGCGAAATTTGGATCAAGCTCGCGCGTGAGCTGCACGTTCACTCCAGCCTGAAGGTTTCCGACCAAATTCCACCATCTCCACCGCACTTCTCAGCCGTTCAGTTCCCCGATTACCGTCCTTTCTCCGGCGAGCATGCACCCGCAGGACATTACGCGAAGATACTGATTACCGAGACAGCAAAAAACCCAGGAATCGATATCAATGGCGGGCCCTTCTCTGATGGACTCCCTCTTCCAGCGCTCGGTCGACGACGTAATCAAGGGTATCCGCCTCAGCCCGCCGGGCACCGAGCCCGCCTTCATCGCCCGATCCCTCGACGAGATCCGCCGCGAGATCAAGTCGACCGACCCGGAGACGAAGGCCGTCGCCCTCCACAAGCTCGCGTACCTCCACTCCCTCCACGGCGCGGACATGTCCTGGGCCGCCTTCCACGCCGTAGAGCTCTCCTCCTCCGTCGCCCACCACCAGAAGCGCGTCGCCTACCTCGCCGCCTCCCTCTCCTTCGATCCCTCCACCACCCAGGTCATCCTCCTCCTCACCCACCAGCTCCGGAAGGATCTCTCGTCCTCCAATGTCCACGACGTCAGCCTAGCTCTCTCCACCCTCTCCTCCATCTGTAACCCCGATCTGGCCCGGGATCTGACGCCGGAGCTCTTCGCGCTGCTTGGTAGCAGTAAACTTTTTGTGAGGAAGAAGGCGTTAGCGGCGGTTCTGAGGGTTTTTGAACAGTACCCAGACGCTGTGCGCGTATGTTTCAAAAGAGTTGTTGAGAATCTAGAGAATGCTGACATGGGGATTTTGTCTGCGGTTGTGGGGTTGTTCTGTGAGCTCACTGAAAAAGAGCCAAGATCCTACTTGCCGCTGGCTCCCGAGTTTTATAAGATTTTGGTGGACTGTAGAAATAACTGGGTGTTGATTAAGGTACTTAAAATTTTTGCCAACTTGGCTCCTCTGGAACCGAGGTTGGCCAAGAGGATTGTGGAGCCCATCTGTGAGCATATGGGAAGGACGGGAGCTAAATCGTTAGCGTTTGAATGTGTGAGGACAATCATGACTAGTTTGAGTGAGTACGATTCTGCAGTTAAGCTTGCAGTGGGGAAAGTGCGGGAGTTTTTGTTAGAAGATGATCCCAACCTTAAATATCTTGGGCTGCAAGCACTGGCCATTCTTTCAGACACGAATGTATGGGCTGTTTTGGAGAACAAGGATTTGGTGGTTAAGGCCCTGAGCGATGTTGATGAGAATATTAAACTTGAGGCCCTACGGCTTGTGATGTGTATGGTCTCTGAGGATAACGTCATGGAAATCTGTAGGATTTTGATCAGTCAGGCACTTAAGTCTGACCCCAAGTTCTGTAACGAGATTCTGGATTTCATTCTGCGGACTTGCTCGAGGAATTTATACGAGGTAGTTTATGATTTTGATTGGTATGTGTCATTTCTTGGTGATATGGCGAGGGTTCCGCATTGCCATATGGGGAGCGAAATCGAGGACCAACTTGTTGATATTGGCATGAGGGTTAAGGATGCCAGGTTTCAGCTTGTTCAGGTTGCTCGTGATCTGGTGATTGACCCTGCATTACTCGGGAACCCATTTATACATGGAGTTTTGGCGGCTGCTGCCTGGATTTCGGGAGAGTACGTCGAGCTTTCAAGAAACCCATTTGAGATCACAGAAGCTTTATTACAGCCACGAACCAGTCTCCTTACTCCATCAGTAAGAGCTGTATATATTCAGTCTGTATTTAAAGTACTTGTGTTCTGTCTGAATTCGTATCTCAAGTTAAATGGAGATGATGCATTGCCCTCTGTGCCAGCATATTCAGACTTTAAAGATAACGAGGGGGATTTTGAAACAGTAGCAAGTCAGCCATTACCCGATGGTCCTGACCTGGATAATCCGAATTTGGCTGCTAAGAATGGACAGAATCTATCATCTTCAAGAACACAACATCTTTCTCTAGAATCTCTTATGGTTGTAATTAATCTGATAGAAACAAATTTGGGGCCCTTGGCTGGTAGTAATGAAGTTGAAGTGCAAGAGAGGGCGAGAAATGTCCTAGGATTGATTAAGTTGATTAAACCTATATTGCTTGACCAGAGAGAAGTTGATACAGTTGGCGAAGGACTGAAGCATATTGAAGTGGTGAAGCTAATTTTTGGTGCATTTTCGAAGGATCTTGGTCCAGTTTCATCTAATGCCCAAGAGAGGGTACCTGTACCTGATGGGTTGGTACTTAAAGAAAATCTTCGTGATTTGGATGATATATGTGGTGAAACTCAGTTGCCTGTATCAACTTCTTTCTCCTTAGTCAAACATTCAATGGTAGTAGAGGTTCCTAGCCATCCAGAACACCCGAGCAAGGAAGAATTCGAACCGTCAAGTAAGTCCACATCCTTACTTGCAGAGCACAGGAAGCGGCATGGCCTGTATTACCTTCCTTCAGAAAAAGCAGGGACAACATCCAATGATTATCCACCTGCTCATGACCCTAAAGAGACGATTACTGATGAGGCTGAAGATCTTGTGAAGTTAACAGAACAATCGCTTGTCATTAGGAAAAAGCCAAATCAAGCCAAGCCTCGGCCTGTGGTTGTGAAATTGGATGATGGGGAAGGATTTAATTTAGCGGCCAAGACTCCCGAGTTCAAGGCTGATGTGATTTCAGGTGCTGTGCAAGAAGTGCTGTTAGGTAATGAAGCTACAGCATCAACATCAAGAAGGAAATCTTCTAACAGGTCAAGTAAGAGAAGGGTGGTCAATGACTTAAATGTTGGGGTATCTGAACCGAAAAACGAAACAGTGAAGGCCGATGTATCGGAGATCGGTAATCCTGGTTCAGGAAGAAGAAAGCACCATGGCCATGGTAAAGAGAGGAAAAATCGGAATTCTGGAAAAGATAAAGATCATGAAAACAAAGACAAGCAGAAGAGTGAGCATGCACATGGTAAGCACAGGTCGCGACACAGAGCAGATGGAGCATTAGCAGCTCAATCACCAGTCATTCCGGATTTTCTCTTATAGCAATGTTTAGTACACCACTCGTCCAAAAAATTTTAAGGTCAGTTTTGTGGTCAATTTTCTGCTTTTTTTTCCTGCTGTATGTGGTTGTAATACATTCTTTTGATTTCCCATTTGAATACATGGTTTGTTTAGTTTTGCCCTTTATTGCTTGGGAGATGACGCGCTTTAGTTTGTAATCTTACTATGCATAAGAAATGGACGAAAGAATCTCTTGAGGCTGAATACCACGAAATGTTTATTTTTCTATGTAATTTTACTATCTGAATGGATCTAAAGTGTGTTGAGTTGACGTACATATACCATATTTCGGCCCTTACACTTCTCTTTCTACTTCCACTTTACGTTTTTGTTTGTTAATTACTTAGGTCAATAGAAAGTCTTGTACTCAGGAGTTATAGGTTGTTAACTGTGCAAAGAACTGCAATGCGATTATTTGTAAAGCTTTCTCTGAATATAAACAAATGCATTATAACGATGTTTCCGATGATTCATTTATAAAGTTCTGTGAACATAATATTTAGCTACTCCAAAGACTTACAGGGAAATTCATAACCCCTAACATCTCACACTATTCAGCTCTTTGTAGACTTGTAGTTTACAATAAATTCAACTGAACTGAAGTTGAATGAGAGATCATTCTAATGTGATACATGAGTGTAAGAAATCAGCATATATAAAAAGTAAAAACTGCTGGAATTCAGTTTCAGCTTCTTGATGATTGTTGCAGTTAAATATTGGTAGTAGCAGAGTCGATCTCGGTGAATGCCTGGTTGCTGGCGCTTAATCATTTTTTACTTTACCATTCAGTATATCTCTCGGCTGACTGCTGGGAGACTTGAGAGAATATTAGATGGATCTCATTCTCAAAGGGTTCTCTTTGACTTGGTTACAATTTTGTGCTGTTGGTAACGATACTTAGTGAAGCATGCGCGAACCATTTATAGACTTTTTTTTTTTAAACGATAGATGATATTATATCAACAATGTACAGGAATACAATCGAGAGTCAACTGACTCGAATAATGCGAGACACCCTGATACAATTTTGTTACTTATTTTCTGTTCAAAGCCCGAACCCGAACTAGGGCACCAACAGTTCAAAAATTTACAGGTACGGCCAGGTCAAACCTAGGTTCAGTTCAAAGCCTGTTGACTGTAAGCCAATTCAGGAGCGTTTTGGGCCGAACCAGCCCGATGCTTACTTTCAATTGACTATCCTACTTTTACATCAAATCAACTTGAATCATTTTATTTTCAATATTATTTTAATACAAAAATAAAATTGCAAACAAACCTAAGTAATCAACCTTTTAAATTAATTGTGCAATTAATTAAAAAACAATTAAAACCAAAATAGTCAATCACATTAGTATTTATGCTAACATCAACAAATTTGTAATGAAACTTCACTAAAAAGTGTCTCGTAAGCTCATCCAAGTTTCCCTCAAGTATCACCTATTAATGGAATTTTATTTAGGTGTCAATTGGACTCGCCTTTTCAATCGAGTAAGATTGCACCAAGTTTTTTTTTTTTCCCCCTTAAACGATAACTATTAAAAATTGAAAACTCAAAAAAGTACAATTGAAGTGTCAACTGATACTACAAAAATCGTAACAAAGTCTAGTCGTTAGGGTATAAAGGGGGCGGTACGACTGGCAGTAGAGCACATCCCGTGATTTAATTCTCAAAATAGTCGAGGGACCAACTACAAGAGTTCAAGACTGATCACCATACGCACGGTATTTGATTATAAAAAAAAGGCACATATTTAAATTAGGCCCCACTAATGTCATAGAGGAACTTTTTTTTAACATTCATAGTCACAAGTTCAATAACTGGACCACCGAGTTAATTTTTGAATTGAGTAATCAATTTAAAAAAAAAAAATCATGTATAATATTCTTATTCTACAAGTATACATAAAAATAACAATTTTTTTTTTTTATAATCTTATACCAGAATTGTATCTCGTCATAAATATTTAAAATATAAAATATAAGCATATAAGAACAAA